GGGGGGGGGGGGGGGGGGATAGTACAATAGTAAGTAACGCATAGAATTATTGTGAGGACGAAGGTGAGCTAATCCCTGTAAAACGCTTAGAACAGTGCCCGGCACACAGTAAGCGTTCAAACAATTGTAGATGACTTTTATCATCGCCGTGGTGATCTTCATGCCCTCCCCTCCCCCTCCGGCCGTGGCTTCCTTCCCCGCAGTGCCAGCCAGTGACGCGGGATCTGCCGCACGCACAGTCTGGGTTTAATTGGAAACTAAAAGAGATGGAAGGGGATGTTCGCGGCCCCTCCCTTGACTCTGAAAAGGACCCCCAGGGAGGGTGTGACTCTCTCTAGCGACACCTCCCGCGATCTCCGATACTGCTCCGGGATGGGGCAACGAGGTCGGACCGAGAAGGCGGCGCCGGGATGGTAGGCAGGGGAGAGCCGGGGAGGTGTGAACGTGCTGGAGGCAGGGCAGGCAGGGGACATACTGTGTTTTCTGAGCCCGATGCCAACTCGCTAGGAGCCTGCGGCCACGCCCATCATGGCCGTGGGCGGCTCTCCACCTGGCAGTCGCAGCCTCCAGGCGCCCGGGGCTCCGAGGCCGGTGCGCTCTGGTACGCTTGGCTGGGGTGCCGGCAGAGGGCGCGCGAGGGGGCCCGGGAACTGGCGGGCGGGGTGCCCCGCGGGAGGCGGGATTGCGGGGAGGGCCCTGGGCCGCCCCTCCCAACCCCTGTCCTTCCCGCCTGCCCACTGGGAGCGCTGGACTAGAAGGCAAGGGCTGGCGGTGTCCCCAGCGCGCTCAGCCGGCTCGGCGCCCAGCTCCTACCTGTAGAGTCTGGCGGGGGCACCCCCTCCCCGGGCACCTATCCTTTCTCCTCCTTCGGAAACCTCTCGCTCAGCTACCCGCGTGTCGGACAGGCGGCGCTGGGATCCCGGGACAGGGTGCCAGGCTCGCTGTTTGTGACACGTAGACGTCCTCCCCGCCGCGGTACCGCCTCGGAACCTGGACGTCCTCCTGGCCGGAAAGTTTGGGGCTGGGCGCCATGGCCAAGAGCAGCTCCCTGAATGTCCGCGTCGTGGAGGGCCGGGCGCTGCCCGCCAAGGACGTGTGAGTACCCCCGGGGCCAGTAGGGGATGGGAGGCGTGCCAGGCATGGGATGGGGCGGGGGTCGCCCATTCCGCGTGCCAGGGAAGGTCGGTGAAGTGGGCGGGGGTTCTTGTCTGAGACAGTGTATTGAGGCCGATCCACCTTCATGGGGCGAGAGGCCCCACGCCCATCGCTTCATGGTGGGAGGGGACACCAAGACTTAGCAGATGCCCCGCCCCGCCCCCAGGAAAGGGGTGTCTTTGTTCCTGGGACGTACTAAAGGGGGTCTTCCAGGGCTTCAGCCCTGGGGATTAGAGGGTCGGATTCTGTCAGAGCTGGGGAGGGGCCTTAGCGGTGGGGGGCTCTCTTTCTTAGTCCAGGCAGGTGTTGGAGGTGGGGTTTCTCCAGGCCTGGGTGGGCACCTGTCAAGAGAATCCTGGGGAGGAGACCCAGAGGGCCTGGGATCCAGGTGGCCCCAGGATTCCTCTGTGTGCATCTGGTATTTAGGTTTGCAGAGTGTCACCAAGTGGCCCACCGGCCAGGCCTGGGGGAAGCTGGGGTCCTCTTGACCCAAAGCCCTAAGCTCCCCAGCCAGCAGCTCCCAGCCCAATGGGGACCTTCCCTGGATGCTAAGCCGCTTGAAGAACCAACTTCCCCCTGCAGCCCCCTCCCTAGCCAGGTGTGATGGGGCTGGAGGACCCTCAGGTTCCCCTTAGTACCAGTCCTCGGCTGTGCTTCCCTCAGGGCTGAGTCAGCAGTTGCCAAATCAGCAGAATGGGGGGAGGGGTCCCCCTCCTGCCTGGCCTGGAGCCCAGAAGGGGCTCTAAGGGTGTCAGCACCTGAAACAGGTGTGGGATCCTTGGCAGGACATTGGCTGTGTGACCTTGAACCTAGTCCTGTTTGGGCTTGGATTTCCCATCTGGCCAATGGAAACCCTGGACAGGAGTCTCCAAGCCGCATGCAGCTGAGGGTGGAGAACCTCTTAGCATTTACCTGCTGGCCAGGTGAGCAGGACCGTGGATTCTGAGCCTTCGCACAGGCTGGGGCTTAGCTATGCTCTGACGCCCCCAGCTGTGGGCCCCCAGTGAGGAGTATCCTGCCTTTGACTTCATGAACATCCCCCCTCCCCAACCCTGCAGCTATGTCAAGGGGGAAGCTGCATAGAGCAGTTCTAGCTCCCTGCATCCTCATCAGCGACCCCCAGAAAACACGCACCTGAGGAAAGCAGAGAGCTCGTTTGCTGTGCAAATGCAGCATCTGGACGAGCCCCCTGATTCCCCTCTTATGAGATGCCCTCTCAGAGCGCCTGAGAATTAGTGATGCTGGAACTGTCGAGGCAGTGAGGTCAGGAGTGGGGACCTGGCAGCTGCTGACCTAGCCAGCTGCTCTGGCCCCTCCGCCAGTCCTGGGTGAGGGCCATGAGGGAGTGACGGATGTTGGGAGCCGGACATGGCTCGCGGGGCTCCCTCTGCCTCTTCTGGGGAGGGAGTCGACTCATACCTGGCTCCTGCATCTCTTGGCCACCCCTCCTCCCCCAAGTTCCTGGGCCGAGGTGAGCTCTGAGGTGGGCCATGCCCAGAAGCAGAGGGGAGAGTGACTAAGCCCCAGTGGGGGATCCAGCCACACTGCCTCAGTTTCCCTGGCTGTTGGCGCCGTTCTTCAGAGGGGCTCCCTCAGAGCGTGCTGGGATCTCCATGCCTGTGGGCACTCTTAGATGGGTATGTCCTCTCTGCCCTCTCCTAAGGGAGAGGGCCCAGATTCTTTCTGAAGCCTCACCAGGTTTGAGGAGGTTTTGGCCTGGCTTGGGAGGAGGCCTCAGCTGATAATTTGAGAGTTATTTCTGTCATTAATAATAGCAGCTGTATGTCTTTGATGGCTTCCTATGGGCCAGGTCCTGTGTTTAACACTTCCTGTAGTCCTGTTAGCATTTCCATTTTACGAATGGGCAAACCGAGGCTCAGAGAGGCAAAGTCACTTGCCCAAGGTCAAATCCCAAGAGTTGGGATTTGAACCCTGACTGCCCCCATGCCCCAACCAGACTGGGCAGGCAATGGCCGATGGGCCTGCTTTCCCATGCTTGAGGTGGGGCAGGAGCCGTGGGAGAGGCCAAGGGTCTAGAGAGATTGAGGGTCTGGAAGGGGCAGCTCCCTTCTGCCACTGTTGCCCCTGCCTGATAGGAGCCTGATAAGGCCCTTGTGCGTCAGAGCCCTGGAGCTGACGTGCTTGACTCCCATGAGGGACCCAGGGGGCAGGCCAGGTAGACGGGAGGGGGCGTGGCTCCCAGCCCTTTTCTATGGATCGCAGCCCATTTGCCCCACATCTGCTGCTGGGGAAACTGAGGGATTGGAGCCCGCCTAAAAGAAGATCAGGGAGAGAGGACCCAGAGAGAGAAATGAGATAGAGGGGGTTACCAGCCACGGGCATCCAGGGGGGTGGAGCCCGATGAGAAAACTGAGGCTCCCAGGGTTACTCAGCCCAATGGGTTTGGGATAGATCAGATGGGAAAACTGAGGCCTGGGGCATTACGCAGAAGGGAGGTCAGAGGTAGAACCCAGAGAGGAGTTCAGAGACACAGGACACCAACCAGTCTGAGGTGTTCAGGGATGGAGAGCAGATGGGGAAATGAAGGTACACCCAGCGGAGGGAACTAGAGGAAGGAGTCCACAGAGGGAACCGAGGCACGTGGAGGGCTCAGCCAGCAGACGAGGTTGGAGCAGCTCCCGGTGCCAGTGTCCGTCTTCCTGGGAATCCCCGAGGCATTTGTGGATCAGTGACAAACTGAGCTGACAGAGGGGGCAGAGAGAGGTCGGGGGCTAGGGTGTCAGGGGAGGGGGCCATTTGGACAAGGGATCGTGAGCCGGGGTGCAGGCATTAGTTAAGAACATGTGTGCTGAGCCCCACAGACCTGGGTTCGAATTCTGACTCTGCGGTGGTGGGGGGAGACGGGGGTGGGGAAATACAGCTCCTCCCCCAAGGAAATCAGATTTCGGAAGTTGCAGGGAGCCATGGAGACAGACACTAAACAGAGGGAAACGGAGCAAGATGATTTCACATGCTTAGAGGGATCGGAGATCAATTTTACACTGTCTACTGTTGGAGGACGGTGGTGATCAAGGACCACCTCTCTGAGGCGGTGACTTTTGGGCTGAGGTTTGAATAATAGGATGGAGCCAGCCATGATAAGATCAGGAACAGAGCGGGTGTCTTAGTTAGGTGGAACAGCAAGTGCAAAGGCCCTGAGGCTGGACTGAGCTTAGTGGAAGACAAAGGAAGCCTGTGCGATGGGAAGTGGGCGGGGGTGGGGGAAAGAGATGAGGGCCCCTGGTCGATAGCTTGGGATGGACTAGTAACTCTTCCTATGAAGCAGGGCTGGAACTGGCTTTGGTTGGCCTATGACTCATGGCTACTCAAGGGGATGCAGCCCATTTCTCCTACTGGATGAGTTTTGAGGTCTGGGTGCCCTGGTCTGTGCCTGCAGTGAGAGCGGCTGCTGAGGTCCATCCCCGCTGAAGTCTGAGCTATGGGGAGCCCCCTCCCAGGGAAACTCCCAGCGGAGAGGGCAATGCTTACCCTGAGGGTGGCGCTCAGGCACCTGTGGGCAAAGCTCTGGGCTCGGCCACGATGCATCGCACCACGCATTAGCTCCTTTAGCCCCTCCAGCCGCCCGATAGGGGGTGTGTGAGAATATTACGCCCGACTCACAGAGCAGAGAAACCGATGCCCACAGCGCGAAGGGGTCTTGCCAGGGTTCCACAGTTAGTAAACTTGGGGCCAGGGATGACTCCCCAGCAGAGCACCGCTTCGGGCTTCCTGGGACCGGGACTCCAAATTTTCTGGCTTCATGTCTCAATGTTCTCTTTCTTTGGGTGGAAGCCCAGGGCCCATTCAAGGAGGTCCGCAGTGGGTGGGCTGGGCAGCCATGACATCGTCTGCTGGTGCCCAGAGGTCCTGCCTCCACTGAACTTGCTGTGTGACCCTGGGCAAATCCCCTGCCCTCTCTGGGCCTTAGTTGCCCCCATCTGTAAAGTGAAGGCAGATTGGGATCCCCACCCAGGGCTGCTCCCTCAAGCCCGCTCCCCAAACCTCCTCCTTCCGCAGGTCTGGGAGCAGTGACCCCTACTGCATAGTGAAAGTGGACGATGAAGTGGTGGCCAGGTAAGGAGGGGAGGGCAAAGGGAGCAGGGCCAGGGGGCGGGGCTCCATCTTGACCTGGGGAGTCCAGGCACAAGAATTCACGTTGAGAAGAGGACCTGGGGGAGGGCAACATTTACCCCAAGGGGGTACTCGCAGGCCTGATGGTGGGTGCTTTGTGCCCTGGCCATGGGCCCAGACAGAGGGGGCGCCGGCTCCCCTCTCCATCTGGTCCTACCAACTGGCCGACATCTTCCCCCTTCCCCCTTGTCCTGATGATGTCCCTGCTGGCGTCCTGGGGCTGACTCAGTGGCGGCCAGATTGTACCTTCCGCAGTGGCCTCCCCGGGGATGGGCATCTCATGCTTGGCTGGGCTGGCTGGTTCCGGGCCTGCTGGGTGCTGTGGGCACTGGGGTGTGTACGTGTGTGTGTGGGGGGGGGGCGTGCATGTGCGCCCGGCTGGGCCTGCTTGTGAGTGTGTGTCGGGGTGTCGGAGGGCTGCTGTGAATGCCTGCGACCACTGGTGCAGGTGCGTGTCCCTGGGGGTCTGCAGGCTCAGAGGTTCACGTTGTGTACCAGCGTGGGGGGGGGGTATACGTGTGTGTGCACACGTGGGCTGCCGTGTACACGCACGTGTGCACCAGTGCCTGCTTATTTGGGTACACAGGCGCCACTGTGAACACATGTGAGGATGTGAAGATGTTTGGTGTGTGTGAGCGAGTCTCGGGCTGGGGAGACCTCGGGCTGGGCTGTGCTGGGCTGGGCTGAAGGACGGCTCAGCCCCCGCAGGCCTGAAGGGTGTGGGTGGGCCGGTGGCTGAGGCCTCGGTTCCTATGGAGACAGCAGGATTCAGCATCCTCCTGGCACCAGTTCTGGTCCAGATGGGCCGGGAGCTGGGGGCAGGGAGCCCGTGTGGAGAAGGGTAGCCTGCAGCACACCAGCCGACCAACCCCCATCATTCTCTCTGTGCTTGCGTTGCCCCTTATTACATTCTGTGACACCACCCCCAAACCCACAGACTGATTTTCCGTGTGACCCCAGGCTGTCACCCCCTCTGGGCTCTGAGGAGCTTCTCAGCCCGGGGGCTGGGGAACCTGAAGGGACTTCCAGCCGGGAAGAGGTCAGGGTAGCGGGAAGAGGGTGTTTGGAGAGAAGAGTCCGTCTGATGGTGGGGCCCTGGGCTGTGTGTGTATGTGTGTGTGTCCACGTTCATACTCTTTGTTGGGGAAGGGTGTGTGGAAGGAAGGAGGAAGGCAGTGGCAGGTGTGCAGACCAAATTTTGCAACCGTAAATTTTGGTGTGTCTTCACTGGGCAAAGTAGGTTCTTTTTTCCCCATCGTGTGAAGGGAAGTGCATCTGCAGAGGTGTTGGGGTGAAGATGTATGTGTGTCTGTTTCTGGGTTTGTCTTGGTCTCCGACCCTCCTGGGGTTCCCCTTGCTTACTGAGTGCTCTGGCCCCAGCTGACTTCATGGTCTCCTGGCCCCTCACATGTCCCTGCCTCCCAACCACCATCTTCTTGTTCTTCAAACTCACCATTCCTGCCTCAGGGCCTTTGCACGTGCTCTTCCAGCCCTGTGGAATACTTGTTCTTATCCTTTCTCCCTGCTTTGCCTGACTAGCTCCTGCAGGAAGCCTTTCCTGACCCCTCCTATCCTCACCCCAGTGGGCACCACTGAGCTAACCAGTCACAGAACTTCTTTCACTATGTCACAAGGGCTCAGGAGGGAACACCAGTCTGCTGAGCGAGGCTCTGTGGGGGTGGGGACCTTGGCACCTCTTCCTCTGATTCCCCATAGCCCCCAAGACTTGGCACATAGGTCAGGGTGAGTGTTTATGGAGTGAATGAATGAATGGATGGATGGAATTGTGTGTCTTGTCAGTTACTGTGTGACAGTGTGATTCTGTGTGTGTATCTCTGCTGCATATCACCCACCCTCTGTATGTGAGTGTGTGTCTGTGGGTCTATGTGTGTCTCCATGTTCGGGCATTTCTTTTCTCTGTATCTCTGTGTGAATGTTTCTGTTTTCTCTCTGTGTGTCTGCACGTGTCTATATGTAGAAACACACAGATATGTGTTTCTAGAAAATTTTGAGGATGCATATGTATATCTGTATATGTGTGAATGTGTCTCTTTGTGTCTCTGGCTTCCTTGGTATATCTGTGAATATCTCTGTTTCAGTATGTATCCCCATGGGAGTGTGGGGTGTGTGTGTGTGTGTGTGTGTGTGTGTGTGTGTGTTGAGGTCCCTGAGTGTGTGAGGGTCAGGGTTTGTGTGTGTATTTGTGTGTGTCTCCATGCCTGGATTCTTGAGTGTATGAGTGTGTGTGTTTGTAGCTGTATTTGAGTGTATTTGAGGAGCTCTGGGTGTGTATGTGTCTGGATCCCTGTGTGTGTGTGTTTGTGTCCCCAGGTATCTGCTGCCTGTGTGGCCCAAAGGCCCCCAGCCCCCCATGTCCCCTTTTGCAGGACAGCAACCATCTGGCGAAGCCTGAGCCCCTTCTGGGGGGAGGAGTACACAGTGCACCTGCCCCTGGATTTCCACCATCTGGCCTTCTATGTGCTGGACGAGGATACCGTGGGGTGTGTGTGCTGGGGACCCAAGCCTGGGCATCTGAGGGAAGGCGGGACACCCCAATACACAGTACCCACCCACCCAGCCGTTGATGCCTTGCCTCCACCTCTCCACGGGCAGGGCAGGGGTCCCTAAGTTGGACCCTCATCTGCCTGCCTTTCTGCAGGCACGACGACATCATAGGCAAGATCTCACTGAGCAGGGAGGCCATTGCAGCTGACCCCCGAGGTGGGTGAGGGGCACTGGCCCCCAGCCGGGCAGAGGGCAGAGGGGGTAGCAGTTGTAAGGGCGTAGCCAGCAGCACGGGGCAACACAGAGCCTTCAGGGGAAAATTATTTGGGTTGTTGCTTTTGTTTTTCATTTTAATTTAGTTCGTTTATTGAGCAGTTAGCTTATTTACATAGGTCAATATTCAGAAGATACAATTAGCCGTGAAACTGTCCCTCTTACCCCAGCTACTCCATTCTTTTTTTTTTTTTTTGGCCGCACTGCACGGCATGCGGGATCTTAGTTCCCCAACCAGCCATCCAACCCACACCCCCTGCAGTGGAAGCGGGGAGTCTTAACCACTGGACTGCCGGGGAAGTCCTCCCCAGCTACTCCATTCTCATCCTCAGTGTTGTCAGTTTCTTGTATGTCCTTCTAGGGACATTTTAAATATATGCAAGCAAGTAACAATAGTAATAGGAGCAAAAACTTATCTAGTGCTTACTGTATGCTGAACACTTTCTAAGTGCTTTACACGTATCAATTCACTTAATTATCGTGATAACCCTAAGAGATAGGTGCTCTTGTTATGCCCACTCTATAGGTGAACAAACTGAGGCACAGGGGGTTAAATAACTTGCCCAAGATCACAAAGTTATTAAGTGGGACAGCTGGGATTTGAACCAAGTTGTCTAGTTCCAGAGTCTGTGATCTTAATTTTAATTAATTTATTTATTTTGGCTGTGCTGGGTCTTCGTTTCTGCGCGAGGGCTTTCTCTAGTTGTGGCAAGTGGGGGCCACTCTTCATCGCGGTGTGCGGGCCTCTCACTATCGCGGCCTCTCTTGTTGCGGAACACAGGCTCCAGACGCTGTGGCTCACGGGCCTAGTTGCTCCGGGGCATGTGGGATCCTCCCAGACCAGGGCTCGAACCCGTGTCCCCTGCATTAGCAGGCAGATTCTCAACCACTGTGCCACCAGGGAAGCCCCAGAGTCTGTGATCTTAACACTATACTATATGTGTTTTTATTCTCTGCTTATAGGAATGGTAGCCTGTTAAACTCATCGGTTCTCTACCCTGTCTTTTCACTTCACCATGTACCTTGGAGATCTTTCCATAATGGTGTCCCCAGAGCTTCCGCATTCTTTGATCTTCGTATGACTTCATGGCACTCCATTGTGCCATCCAATGATGGATGTGCCATCATTTATTTCTCTGGTTCCCTCTTGATGGACACTTGGGTTGTTGACAGTCTTTTCCTATTTCAAACAATGCTGCAATGACTAGCCTTGTACAAACGTGACTGCACACATATATGCAAGTTACATCAATCAGCTTGATAAATTCCTAGAGGTGTATTTGCTGGATCAAAGAGTACCCACATTAGCACATTTGATAGTTATTATAGTAATTAAGTTACCCTCCCTGGAGGAGTTAACAGTTTAACCCATCCTGTACCCTTGCCAACAAATACCAAACTTTTGGATCTTGTATCTGATAGGTAAAAAAAAAAATTGCCTCTTAGCGTGGGTTATTTTGCATTTCTCTATGAGTGAGATTTTTTTTTTATTCAAACAGAAAGTCACAAAAATTATAATCATCCTCATCAGTTCACCCAGTCCCATGTAATTAATTTTTTTTCATCTTGACCTTTTGTTAGCACTTTTATGAATTCATCAGTTTTCCATTAGAGTTCTGAATCTATGAGTGAGATTGAAGACCTTTTTATATATTCAAGAGTCACTTTATTTCCTTTTTTGTCTATTGTCTATTCACATTGTATGTGTATTGTTCACCCACTGAGTTGTTGCCTTTTCTTACTGATTTGTAGGAGCCCTTTACATGTGAGGAAAATGAACTTTGTCATATTAGCTGCAAAATGTTTTTCTCCCTTGTGGCTTATATTTTGACTTTGATTACAATTTTTTCCAGAAGAAAATTTGTTTCTTTTTTTGTAGTCAAAAAATTTTTTTGGCTTTTGATTTTCTGTGATATCTAAAAGGCTTTCTCAATCCTAAGATTAAGACAATTGTTTTTTACATGATTATTTCAAGCAACAGTTTGTTTCCTTTTTTTTTTTTTTTTTTTTTGCAGTTAAGTCTTTCATCTATTTGGAATTTACCCAAATACAAAGTATGGGGTAGGGATTAAACTTTACTACTTTTTGTCTAGATGACTACTACTTGTCTTGACACCATTTATTGAATAATATAATAATATATTTTTTCATTAGTGAGCGTTATGTGCCTATGTGCCAATCATCATAATCATCACTCCTATTTAATGAAGGCTTATTATGTGCCAGGCACAATGCTAAGTACTTTACCTTTAGTCCTCACAACACCAAATGAAGTATGCACCAGAATGATCTCAAATTCACAGCTGACGGGAAGTGAGGCTTGGAGAGGTGGGGTGACTTGTCCCTCCTAGATGTTGCAGAGGTGGGAATTGACACCAGGCTGTGCCTGCCTCCTAAGTCTGTGTTCTTAACCTGTCCACTGAGCTGTCCCCAGTGTGCCTCAAACATCCACCCAAGGGGGTGAAATTAAATTAATGACATATAAGGCTTATTAACTTCAAGGAACTTATGGACAGATAGAAAAATAAAACACATTTACCCAGAACAGGAAGGAAGAAAAAAACAAACTGTCATGTCTGTGGGTGCCTTTTATTTTTGAAAACAACTGCAATGTGGGGTGGAGGTATGTGAGACATCACTGGCATGATAGAGGGCAGTGAGGGCTAATGTGGTCAAGGAAGACTTCCTGGAGGAAGGGGAATGAGTTAGTTCTTAAAGATGCTTTGGCAAAGATGCTAAGGCACATCTCCATGGATTCTCTTCTAAGGTCAGGTGTAAGCCAGGCCAGATGGAATACTTGATGGGGGTTGATTGGGGAGGAGGCCAGAGTCTGGACTTTCTTCTGGAGACACTAGGGAGTCATCGATGGTCCCTGAGTAAGACAGTGAAGAGATTGGAGCCATAATATCAGAGGATGCACTGACAGAAGAGATTGGATACATTTTCAGAAGGTTTCTGTGCTGCTGTGTGGATATTGGATCACAGTGGGACAGGAGTAGATGTGGGAGATCAATTAGGTATCTGTTGCAATAATCAAGTGAGAAAAACTGATGGCATCCTGGACTTGGGGGTAGCGGTGGAGCTAGGGAGGTGAGATGCAACTTACACTTCCAGCAGCATGAGGAAAAGAGATCCACAGAAGGGCCCTCCTGCCACATAACAATGAGATCCTGAATTAGATGCAATTCCTAATCCATTGTTGGAAGGATGTAAAGAAGGAAAAAACCCTCAGTGTTCCTCCCCCCCCCCTTTTGCAAATCATGAGCTAAAACCTAACGGGGAGTGGTGAGCAACAAGAAAGGAAATCAGGAAGGATTTCCCTGAAAGTAAATGTCAATATCAAATTCACAGTCAACAAACAGACTGAATCTTAGGCTAGGGGGAAGGCAGATATTACTGAATCTGAGAATTCCCCATTAGATTGAGACCCTTAAAAGGTTCCAGAATAAGCAACCACCACTGCTCTCCAGGGATAAGCATTTTCATGTTGAATTTCCCACAGAGTGAGCTCCAACAAACATGTCTTCACAATCAAAGAACACCACACACTCAAGGAAGTGTGCCATGCCACCATGAGCGAGAGTCAGCGGAAACAATGGCCATCAGATTTAGACCCATAAAGACTTTAGATTTTGTATTTATGGTTATAGAAATTTTAAAAAATTCAATAAATAAACGAATCGCCAGAAAGGGCCAGCAATAACCATGATAAATTAAAGCAATACATTAAAAAAATAGACTGACTTGGAAAAGGACCAAATCAAACTTTTAGAGAGAAAAAGTACAATTGTTGACATTGAAAACTAAGTGGCTGAGTTCAACAGCAGATCGTTCATTCAGAAAGAAATTATTGAAACCTTAGCCCAGAGAAATGAGAAGGAAAGTATAAAAGAGAAGTTGAAGGCATAGAAAATAACTGAGAAGGTCTAACATTCATTTAATTGGAGTCCTAGAAGCAGAAAATAGAAAAAGCTGGGGAGAGGAAATGATAAAAAAAAATTGACGACCTGGAATTTTCCAAAACTCAAGGAAGGGCATGAGTCCATAAATAGAAGAAGCACAACCTGTACTAAGCAGGAAAAAAAAAAAAAAAAAAATCCTTACCTAGACCCATTGCGGGGAAACTGCAGCAGACATCAAAGCCATAGTCCTTAAACTTGGAAAAGAGAGACCATTCACACAAGATCAATTATTAGGCTGAAATGACTTCCCAATAACTACAATCAAAGCTGGAAGTCAGTGGAACAATATCTCTAAAGTGTTGAGAGAAATGAGAGACAGAGAGAGAGAAGGAGAGAGGGAGAGGTTAAGACTGAGACTAAGATTGACTGGATTGATTCAAGCAGAGAGCCTGAATGAAGGCTCAGAGATAGGAATTTCCAAGTCCCCCCCCCCCCTGTTGCGGAGCACGGGCTCCGGACGCACAGGCTCTGGACGCGCAGGCTCAGCGGCCATGGCTCACGGGTCTAGCCGCTTCGCAGCATGTGGGATCTTCCCGGACCGGGGCACGAACCCGTGTCCCCTGCATTGTCAGGCGGACTCTCAACCACTGTGCCACCAGGGAAGCCCCCAAGGTTTTTTTTGAGGGGAGAGTATATTGGGACTAAGTGATGCAGGGCCTTATATATCAGGATGAAGAGTGTGACAGTACATGGTTAGGGGCATTGGCCCTAGAACTATACTGCCTGTGTTTAAATCCTAGCTCTGCTGTTTACTAGCTGTGGGATCATGGGCAAAGCTCCTTCCTCGCTGTGCCTCATTTTCCTCATCTGGAAGTAGGGATAATTACAGTACCTACAACAGAAGGCTAACATGAGAGGTCCAAGACTCAATGTCTTTTTAATGTTAATTGAATTTTTAAGTTAATGCAATGTCTAGACCACGATAGGTGCTTAATGAATGTTAGTGCCTGCGCCCTCCAGGAATTGATAGCTGGATCAACCTGAGCCATGTGGACCCTGATGCAGAGGTGCAGGGTGAGATCTGCCTGGCTGTGCAGATGCTGGAGGATGTGAGGGGCCGTTGTCTTCGCTGTCACGTGCTCCAGGCCAGGTATGGTCATGATGGGGGATTGGATTGGGGGGGGTGGTCTGGGAATGAGCAGAAATCCACTGGGTCCTCCCAGCTGCCTTGAGACCACCTCTCTCCTAGCACACTTCTGGGCTCACAACCAGGATCCTTGGCAGGCAAATGGTCCAAGCTCACCAGGTTGCAAATTTCTTGGGTTAAAGCACAAGCAAAATCTTTGTTGGGGCCCCAGTGACTAGCAACCAAAGGCCACATACTCAGGATGACCAGACAGATGAGTGTGGGGGTGTATTAATCAAATTGTAAGTGATAGACACCCAATTCATACTGGCTTAAGCAGATTGGCTTGTATGAATGACATGTAGCTTCAGGCATGGCTGGATCCAGGTGCTCCAACAGTGACATCAGGAATCTGTAGAAATAGACTCCTTGGATGTCTTTTGTATTAACTTCATCCTCAGACAGTCTCTCCCCCAGGTAGGGGCAAAGATGACCCCAGAAGCCCCAGACTGGTATCTTATCAACTTGGCAGCTCCAATGGAAAAAGAACTTCTGTCTTTCACCATTTCCAACCAACATCCTGGGACTAATTCTTATTGACCCAGTCTGGGGTACATGCCTATCACTAAACCAATTACACTGACTCTGATTGGTCAGGCCTGAGTTCCAAGCCCATTCCTGCAGTGATCAACCCACATAAGTCATGTGGACTGGGAGAGAGGGAGGGGTAGGTCCTGTCCCAAAGAAACATAAGAAGGAAGACGGATGCAGGACCAGTAAAACCCACAGATGAACCTCCAGGGGCACCAGCTCGTGGGATATTCATCTTCCTTCTTGCCTATTTATCACTCCTCTCTGTTTCTCAGCTCCCCCATTACTCTATTTCCTTAAATACTTCCGCTCCTCTTTTCCCTCCCATCTCCTATCTTGTTTTCTGCCTTTTATTTCAACACCTTACTCCCTCGACCCTTACTTTCAGGCCAGTCCTTGCCCAGGTTGGGCTGGATCTCTATTTCTAGTTTGCTCTGTGACCTTAAAGCCTTATCTTGCCCTCTCTGTGCCTCTCCTACAACCTCCAGATTTCTGTCTCCAGCTGGGGCTCCCTGGAGTCTAGATGGAGTAGCAGGCAGGCATAGGACAAACAAAAGGACTCAGTATGGGGCAGGGACACCTCATCTGCTCTGTGCCCATGACCTCCTCCCCAGCCACAAAACTGTGCAGGATCCTTGCAAGCAGGAGAGGGACTGATTGCAGTCGCTTAGCAACTAGGCTGGCTCCTAGGAAACCAAAGAAGGCTTTGGATGCCGAGCAGGGGTGGGAGAGGAGCAGCGGGAGGAAACAAGCAGCCCCTGGGTGTGTGTGTGGGGGAATGTCCCTGGATTTGGGGGACCTTGGGAAGGAGGGGTGGGGGAGGCTGACTTGGGTGAGCCTTTGAGTTGTCATGGCAACCAGAGGCAGGGGGTCCCTGCTTCATGCCTTTTCTTCGTCCTAGGCACGGTGTGGGCATGAGTGTTTGTTGAGTGAATGAGTGAGCTGAGCACTTACCACCTGCCGGCTGCTATGCTGAGCCCTTTACACATACTGTCACATTTAACCCTTGGCCCTGTGAGGTTGGTCTGTATTTACTCCGATTTTCCAGATGAAGAAACTGAGGCTCAGGGAGGTGAAGTAAATTTTCCCAGTGTCACCCAGCCAGTGAATGGGAGAGTCAGGTTTTGAACCCTGGTATCTGGCATCTGGCATCTGGTCTCCCATCCAGGGGCTCCAGGGAAACTGAGGCTCCCTTCCCCCTCCTCACTGCACCTTCACCTGCTGCTTTGTGATGTTCAGCTTGACCTTTCGGTGCCTCAGTTTCCTTCCCTAGAAAATAGGGACATAGTAGCGTGTCCTCATAGGGTAGCATAAGTCAATAGGAAGATACTGGGTTTGGATGGGTCTGGTGAGGGATGCTCCTCGCTGGATCCCTACAATGGGGTAGTTCGTTGCCTTGGAAACCAGCAGTATTTGAATGGTCTACCCTGAACCCCCTTTCCAAGGTCCAGCTTGGGTCTTGCTCCTCAAGGGTCCTGTGACCCCCCCACCCCTTACTTCATCTGTCCCCAGGGACCTGGCCCCCCGAGACATCTCCGGCACATCTGACCCATTTGCACGTGTGTTTTGGGGCAGCCAGAGCTTGGAGACTTCGGTAAGTGGTGTAGCGGAGCCGGGAGAGTGGGGCATCAGGTGACCTTGGGAAAGCAACTTAACGTCTCTGAAGCTCAGTTTTACCACCTGTAAAATGGGAACAGTGGTCCCATTAGCTCTCTCTCTCACTCCCTCCTCTCCCAGACCATCAAGAAGACTCGCTTCCCACACTGGGATGAGGTGCTGGAGCTGCGGGAGATGCCAGGTCCCCCATCCCCACTGCGGGTGGAGCTCTGGGACTGGGACATGGTTGGCAAGAATGACTTCTTGGGCATGGTGAGCACGCCCCCCCTCCCAACACCCCCCTCCCCTGACACCCTCCATGGCTTCCCACTGCCTCCGAGGGGGAAGGGGGAGATGGGCTGGGCATCTTCGGGCTTGCTTGGAAGGGTAGATGTGAAGGCTGCCTCATCAGGTCCCCTGGCCAGGCCTGGGTGATGGAGTGCCATTGTTCCATTGGTGCAGGAACCTGTCCAAGGTCAAAGGGTGGGCCCAGATTCTTATTCTGGGATGAGAGTACCCAGGATGACTGTGTGCTAGCCCTGTGCTAAGTGCTTCTCCAGCATCACCTCATTGGCCATCATCACCTGATGGCCACTGTTAAGAGGCTAGGACCATTGTTGTCCCCATTTTACAGATGGGAAAACAAAGGTTCAGAGAGGTTAAGTGGCTTTCCCAAGCTCATATGATTAAGAAATGACAGAGTCAAGATTTGAGTTCAGGTCTCTCTGATTCCAGAATCTAAGTCTAACTCTTACTCCTGGAAGCACTGGGCTCAAGGTCTTTCTCTTGGAACCTCAGTCTTCCCATCTGTAAAATGCGTGTGATTTTCCTTGCCTCTCTGTAGTAGTGGATGTATACTCAGGCTTGACAGTTTTTGTTTTTTTTTCGGCCGCACTGCATAATCAGGGGTTGAACCTGGGCTGCGGCAGTGAAAACACTAAATTCTAACCACTAGGCCACCAGGGAACTCCAAAGGCTGACAGTTTTTAAAAGGAGGCAAGATTAGAGCAAATAAGAGGAAGACTTGGTTATGCACTCCTGGTGGGACTATAAAATGGTGCAGCGGCTTTGGAAAATGGTCTGGCAATTCCTCAAATGATTAAAGACAGACTTACCACATGACCCAGCAGTTCTACTCCTAGGTGTGTACCAAAGAGAAATGAAAACTTATATCCACACCAAAAAGGCTACATTAATGTTCATAGCAGTTCAGTCGTTCATAATAGCCAAAAGTAGAAACAGTCCAAATGTCTATCAACAGATGAACGAATAAACAAACTGTAGTATATCCACACAATGGAATATTATTCAGCCATAAAAAGGACAAAGTACTGACACATGCTACAACGTGGATGAACTTTGAAAACACAATGCTAAGTGAAAGAAGTCAGTCCAAAACCTCCCACATCTTATATGATTTAATTTATATGAGATGTCTAATACGAGCGAATCTATAAAGACATAAAGTAGATAAGTCGTTACCGGGGGTGGGGGATGGGGAGTGATTGCTAATGGGTATAGGCTTTTTTTTGGTGGGGGAACTGATAGAAAATGGACTGAAATTAGTGGTGATGGTCACACAACTCTGTGAATCTACTAAAAACCACTGAATTGTACGCTTTAAATCAGTGAATTGTATGGGATGTGAATTATATCTCTGTAAAGTTGTTATTTAAAAAGAGAGGGAGGTGGGGCTTGTGGGCCTTCTAGACTGTCTTTATTATTTATTTATATATTTGCTTTTGGCTGCGCCACTGGACCACCAGGGAATTCCCTTTACGCCTTTTGATAGCTGCAAGTTTCGTCCCTAAACAGAGCTGAAAATACACTCAGTCCAGACATGCTGTCTCTAGCAGCTGTGTGACCTCGGGCAAGTCACTCCACTTCTCTGAACCTCAGTTTCCTCAACTGTAAATTAAGTGTCCCCTGGAGGCCCTCAGGATACGGTATGGGAGGAGGAGGTAGCCCTTGGCGGGCTTTGCCTCCCCTCCTTGGGTGGGCAGCCCGACCTCTTCTTCCAGGGCTGGGTGGGGCAGAGCTCTGCTGAGGGTCTGTGTGTCTCCCCCACAGGTGGAGTTCCCCCCGCAGGTCCTACAGCAGAACCCGCCCAATGGCTGGTTCCACCTCCTGCCCTTTCCCAGAGCGGAGGAGGATTCTGGGTAAACGTGGGTGCAGAGGGAGGAGGCTGGGCTGGAACCATGTTGGGTACCACCTTCAGCTTGTATTATTACAGTATTTATACTGGTTGATATCTGTTCACATCTGTTTATACTGGCCACACCTGCCCACACCTGTCCACACCTGTCTTGTTTCACAAATATCTATGCTCTTTACCTGTACTCACACCTGCCTATCTTGGCTCACCGCGCTGGCCCATACATACTTACGTTCCTTCACCTGTGATCTGGCCCTGGCCAGGGGGAGCCTGGGTGCTCTGCGGCTGAAGGTGCGCCTGACCGAGGACCGCGTCCTGCCCTCCCAGTACTACCAGCCACTCAGGGAGTTGCTCATGGAGTCTGTGCTGGGGCCGGCAGAGGTGGGTGCATCACTGCGGGTGGGCAGGGATCTGGATCATGGCCTCCCCTTGCTTCAGGGATGTCTAGCTGGGCTTTTCTGCTTTGGGGTCCCAGGGCCCCAGGCCACCTCTCCTGCCTCCTGTCCTTGTGCAGGAAGATGCTGCCAGCCCCCTGGCTGTCCTGGAGGAGCTGACCTCGGGGGACTGCCGCCAGGAGCTTGCCACCAAGCTGGTGAAGCTCTTTCTTGGCCAGGGCCTGGCTGGGCCCTTTCTGGACTATCTCACCCGGCGTGAGGTGGCACGGACCAGTGAGTTGCCTGCATGACCCTCAGGCATCACTCCCCAAGGATGAGTCTGCAGCGCGTCTCTGGGAGAGAAATGGGGGGGCCTCAGGCAGAGGGCAGGGGCTGCTGTGTCTGTATGTGTCGGAGGTGGCACGGGCTGTGCACTCCCAGTCAGCTGGGAGCATGGTCCTGGGTTCAGGCCCTGGTTTTGCTACTCATGAGCTGTGTGACCTTAGGCAGCTCACTTAACCACTGTGGGCCTTTGTACTGTGAACGGAGCTGACGTTGCAAATCTCCTCAATTCCTGAGGCTGGAAGAATCATGACCCCCACCTTGGGTGGGTGGGGTGAGGTGGATTCAGCCCCCCAAATCCCAGCAAACACTTCCCTCTGTCCTCCCAGCTGACCCCAACACCCTCTTCCGTTCTAACTCCCTGGCATCCAAGTCAATGGAACAGTTTCTGAAGGTGAGTTGGTGAAGGCCTGGGGGGGCCCGGCAGCAGCTTCCTCAAGGGAACTCCCTTCCCAGTGCTTACTCGGACCCCAGAGCTTGGCCAGCCTCAGGTGGCACTGGGTGGCTGAGCTGGGGTGCTGGTGGCTGGTGGCTGGCCTAGCCCTGAGTTGCACCCCAACCCCAGCCCTTGGGCAGGCCCGCGCCTCACTCTGAACCTCTCCCTGCGTGGTCCCCCTGACCCTCGCTCACGGGCACACCCTGGCCTCGCCCTCAGCCCCGCCCCGTGTGGTGCCCCCCTGCCCCCAGCTCGTGGGCATGCCCTACCTGCACGAGGTCCTGAGGCCGGCGATTAACCGCGTCTTCGAGGAGAAGAGGTACATGGAGCTGGACCCGTGCAAGATGGGCCTGGGCCGCACCAGGTGAGCCAAGGCTGAGGGGTGAGCCCCCCACGGGCCCCTTGGCTGCCTGCAGCCTTGTCAGGCCGGGTCTCTGCCGACTGCCCCCCACCCCTCCCTCCAGCACGACTGCTCGGGAGCCCCGCATTCTACCTCAAAGCCTCCCCTGCAAGCGCCCAGCCCCTCAGACGGTGTCGTGCAGTGGCTATGGGCAGGACTCTGAGACATGAGCTCCCTGGGTCCAAATCCCAGCTCTGCCACACCTGCTGGGCAAGTTACTTAAGCCCCCGTGAATGTCTACCTGATGGATTGTCATGAGAATTAACTGAGTTATACACACAAAGCCCAGCATTAACTAATACTCCATAAGTACTAGTTATTTCTGTTATCGTGGTGGTGGTGGCTGAGGCCCTTGGGGGAGGGCCCCGCGTGGGTCTGCGAGCAGAGGTGGCATCCTGCAGCGCTCGATGACATGGGGTTAGGGAGCAGGGCAGTGACGGGGTCGGGGGAGTCAGTTCATGCCTCCCTGGGCTCCTCCTTTCTTTTTTTGTTTTGGCCGTGCCGTGCAGCATACGGGACCTTAGTTCCCTGACCAGGGATCGAACCCGCGCCCCCTGCAGTGCAAGTGCAGAGTCTTAACCACTGGACTGCCAGGGAAGCCCATGGGCTCCTCCTTTCTTGCCAGGACTTTCCTCCTCCAGCTAGGGTGGACGGGCTTGTTCCTGCCAAGCCATCCGAGCCGGTTGCTGGGCAGTCCATTGGGGACCATGGTGGAGGCAGGAGAGGGTCTTTCCTTCACTTTGGGCCTTGCCCAGCAAGTGCTGCCCACACCTTCCGACCACCCCGGAGGCAGGTATTAGGATCCCTTTTTACAGATGAGGAAACTGAGGCTCAGAGAGGGGAGGTCACCTGCCTAAGGTTGCACAGTTGGGAAGTTGCAAAGTGGGGATTTGAATCCAGGCCCTGAGCAGAAGGGCAGAGTCCGTCTGTGAAGCCCCTAGGCCAGGGCTTTTCCCAGCACCCCTGGCAAGGATGGTGGGAGTCAGTGGGCGCCCGCAGGGAGCTGGAGCATCCAGGAAACTGGGCAGACTCTGGAACTGGCAGTCTTGAGTTATAATCTCTGTTCTGCCACCTATTTGCAAGGGGACCTCTCTGAGCCTCAGTTTCCTCATCTGTTAAATGGGAACAATCAGCCTACTTAATCTAACATTGGGTTGCCATTAGGATTAAATGATTCAATGCCAGAGACAATTAGTTCAGGGCTTAGCTTGTTGGGTCCAGGGCACAGTGGGGCTGAGAACCCCCAGCCTGGCTTCCATGGAATTCACAGTCTGAGGGTAGGCAAGACAGACCCTAAACCTGCATGGGGACCGGAAGGAAGGGAGCAAGATCATTGCAGGTAGAAAAGTGCTATTCCATCGTCTATTCAACGAAACAATTGTTAAGCACCTACTGTGTGCCAGGCACTGGGCTGAAAGCTGAGTTCGTAGCAGGGAGAAAATGGACACAAATCCCTCTTCTCCGGGGAGACAGATAATAAACTAAAGAAGAAGGTTATTGCAGGCGATCAGTGGAAAGGAGGGAGATAAGGCAAGGGAGGGTCCTGGCAAGAGCCAGGAGCAGGGGAGGGGCTTGCGATATTCCGTAGGGTGGTCACAGGGACAGCCTCCCAGAGAAGGGGACATGGAAGCAAAGACTTGGAGGAGTTGAGGGAGGGAGTCGTGCACAGATCTGCTGGAAGAGTGTTCCAGGCAAGGGGAACCGCAAGTGCAAAGGCCCTGGGGCAGGAGTGTGTGTCTGGCAGGTCCACGCTGAAAATGCACTGAACCAGGGTCCGTGATGATGAGCAGTGGGGGAGGGACGGCCTCTTTGAGGAGGTGATTCCCAGCACGGGGATCAGCAGGTCCAAAGGCTCCAAGACAGAAATACGCTCCGTGTCTTGAAGCAGCAGCTGCAGTGGAATGGTAGGAGGGGAGGCCATGCAGGTGGGATGGGAGGGTGGGTGCTCTCTGAGCTCAGTGGGGGCCCATGGAGGGTTTTGAGCAGGCAGATGCCAGGCTCTGAGGTGGAGCCCTCCACTTGCTGCCCCAGGAGAATCTCCTTCAAGGGTGTGCCCTCCGAGGAGCACGTGCGGGAGGCCAGCCTGGGACTGCTGACGGGCTACCTAGGGCCCATCATGGATACCATTGTGGGCTCCGTGGGGCGCTGCCCGCTTGCCATCCGTCTCGCCTTCAAGCAGCTGCGCCAGTGCGTGGAGGAGCGCTTTCCCCAGGCAGAGCACAAGGTGGGCCAGGCACTCTCATTGGGCAGATGGGGAGACTGAGGCTGGGGAGGGGCAGTAGCTTGTCCAGGGTCACAGGGAGAGGAAGGGCAGGGGCGGGACAAAACCTGGGCTGCCTATGCTGAAGTGCTGTGTGTCTTGGCAGAAGTGGGGACAGTGTTCTGATAGGATCTGGGACCCAGGGGTGATGATGATGATGATGATGATGATAATAATAATAGCAGTTAACACTATATATAGCCCTTTCTAGGAGTCAGACCTTGTTTTACATATTTATTACCTCGTCTAGTCTTCACTTCCACCCTACGAGACGGGTGCCAGTATTATTCCATTTTACAGAGGAGGAAACTGAGGCCCAGAGAGGTTAAGTTACACAGCTAGGAGGGGGTAGTGATGGGATAGGCTCCCACCCAGGCAGACTCTTGAACCTGTGCTCATAACCACCAAATAATACCGTCTGGCGCAAAGTAAGTGCTTCTTAAATTCCAGCTATTAGAGAGAGGGAGAGACAGAGAGACAGAGAGACAGAGATGGCTGGCACACAGTACTCGGTAGCAGACACCTAAAATAAAGTCTAAAAAGAAATCCCTGCACATGCTAGTGCTTTTCTAATACTGATACAAGAGTTGAACTCTAGGTGCTGTAGGGTTCAGGCAGGTGAGGTAAATGAACAGAGCAGTCAAGGTGTCGTGCAGTAGGGAGTGGTAGGGCCTGTGGCAAACTGGAGCTCCCACAGCTTGTCTTAAAGGGGCAGATCCAGACAATCAATTATTGCCATGTAGGAATGGGGACCCAATACTGCCTGATCTTCAGAGTTTTTTTGTTTTTTAATCCAACAGTCTGGATTTTATGTGTGGAATCTTATTTTTTAAATTTTGGCACTAGTTTACCTAACAACAATAACACAACAATAATACTTTGAGCCAATCATTACACGTTTGCAGCTGGACTGGCCTGTGGGTTGCCAGTTTGAGACCCCCAGGTTTAATGCTCAGCATGCCTTCCGAGGTGGCAGTCACGGTCCTTGCTTACAAATGACACCCAGTGAGGCTAGGTCTTACACTGCACTGACATAATAGAAATGCAGACTAGGGTTCGCTTTGCAGAAAGATCTAGGGCCCGCTAAATGTTGGAGATGTAATGGCCCAACCCCTAGAGCCTGGGTTAAGAGGTCCTGATTTATGCCACACCTCTCCCCACTTACAGATGGGGAAACTGAGGCCCAGAGAGGTGAGGCACCTTGGCCAAGAGTCGTGGACTCAAGCCTAGGCCTCCAGACTCGCAGTGGGAACCGCTTCCTTCCTCCCTCATCCCCGCCTGAGGAGTGAGCTCTGGGCCTCCAAACTGGGACATGGGTGATTTACCCCACAGCTGCAGGGCTCTTGCCTGGGTTGCCAGTGGAGGTGCTAAGTGGGACACAGCCAAGGCAGGGAGGAAGGGAGGGAAGCGGGAGGCCAGCGCCCCAGACAGCCTGGCCCTTGTGGGAGGAACCAGGATCAATGGCACCCAAGTGTCCCCCAGTTTTCAGCCTCCATGGTAGGCAGAGGCCACGGGCAGGGAGCAGGGGCTTCCTCAGGCCCACGAGGATGGGTGGGGTCGCAGGAACCCAAGGGAGCCCCTTTCTTTGCCGCTCTGATACTTGTTCCTCCTTCTTAAGAAAGGAGGAAGTTGATGAGCTGATATCAAAGGCTAAAATTACCCTGGAACACGGCGGGCTGGGGGGGGCAGCCCTGGGGGCACTTCAGGGTTCCAGATGAGTGGGACCTCCATCCTCACCTCTGGGCAGCTCCAGGTGCCCAGCTCCTGTCAGGGCTCACTGTCAACGCAGAGGTGCCCCCGGGAAGTTGGCACACACCCAGAGAGGGTATTGTCTTATGTGTGAATACAACCCCTAAATAAACACTGCAGCACATTCTCGGGCTAAATATAGCTTGCTGAGTGTGAGGGGTAGGTGAGGAGCCCCCTGGGGGGAGCTTGCACCCAGGATAGAGAGACAACTTCTCCCCAAGTCCCCTCTGCTGGAGCTGGGGGGACCAGCCTTATGTGCATGCAGGTGGGCCAGGCCTGGGTCTCACACAGAAGGGTGCCATACTTTACAGTTTGCAGGGGGCAGAGGCTGGGGCTGGGGGATGTGCAAGGGAGCCAGCTGAACTGGGTTCACTACTGAGCCTCAGTTTCCTCATCTGGAAAACAGAGATAATAGTATCTACCCCCATGGGATTGCTTTAGGAGTAAATGTGACAGTTCAGGCTTAGTTTTTGGCACTCAGTAGCTAGTGTTGAATGCAGGAGAGTGTGGTGAAGAGCAGAGTTCAAATCCTGCCTGGGTTCAAATCCTGGCTCTGCCACTTATAGCTGTGTGGCCTTGGGCAAGTCACTTGACACCTCTGAGCCTCTGGTTCCTCAGCTGTAAACTGGGAATAATGATGATGCCTCTTTCATAGCGCTGTGCCCTTAGCACAGTGCTTGGCACAAAGCAGACTCTGAGGATGTTTGACTAATTCTGATCGTGCAGGATTGGTATTATTACTCCATTTTCCAGGTGGGGAAGCTGAGGCCCAGAGAGGAAAAGCCTCCACGGCAGACCAGGATGGCCTCCTGACCTGTCTCCCATTCTACTTCCCCTTGTACCACCAATCTTTAGTCCTTGCTGCCTCAGTTTCCCCAGCTGAGAAGTGGATTTGAGGGACCCCTCTCACCTGCCGCTCCTCTCCGCAGGATGTGAAGAACCTGGCCATAAGTGGCTTTCTCTTCCTGCGATTCTTCGCTCCTGCCATCCTCACCCCGAAGCTGTTTGACCTTCGGGACCAGCACGCAGATCCACAGACCAGCCGCTCACTGCTGCTGCTTGCCAAGGTGCCGGCAGTGGAGCCCCCGATCTCGGGTGCCCTTAGCCAGTGAGAAGCATGGGAGGAACAGAGTGGAGGCCGGACCCATGGAAGACCCAAATGAGACCCAGAGAAACCTCTGTTTGAAACGGCACCGTTAGCTTTCCATCCTGAATGTGAAAGCATTCATTTCTCTTTCTAATTCCCTCTTTGGAACAAAACCCCTACCCTTCCAGGGGGAAAGCGGGAAGCAGGCTAGCAGTCATTTATGCCTTAGTATGAATTAGACCATCCTTTGCAAAGGGGCCACATTCTGAGGTTCTGATGGGCTCGAGTATGCATGATGGCATCAAGCAGTCCTGAATGGGGTTATCCGGGTTCAGGAGGGGACAAAATAAAAGCACTGGGGATACATATCTGTGCACAGAGAGGGACAGATATCATCTAAAGCAGGTACTGCTAGGAGTTCTCTCCTTTTGTTGAGCACTGATTTGGGAGCCAGGACTCTGGGGCTCTGTTCTGGGTCTACAGAGGGCCTTCCTCACTGCAGTGACCTTGGCGCTGGCATCCCCTGCTTCTTTGCTCCAGGCTGTGCAGAGCATTGGAAACCTGGGCCAGCAGCTGGGCCAGGGAAAGGAGCTGTGGATGGCACCCCTACACCCCTTCCTGCTACAGAGTATTTCGCGTGTGAGAGACTTCCTGGACCAGCTGGTGGATGTGGATGGGAAGGAGGGTGAGTTCCTGTGGCCCTGCCACAGCCAGCTTGTCATTTCACTGGACCCTCGGGACCTGCCCGTCTACCACCCCTCCCCCACCCCTAGCACTGAGACCGTGGACCTGTGGGTCAGCTAGTCAGTCAACTAATATTTCCTGGCACATACCGTGCTAGGTCCCACAGACAAACAGACTCAGGCCCTCCAGACCATTCCAGCCCGTGTGGAGATGTGAGTGGGAATCGTGGCATGGTACTCATGCAATTGACAAATATCTATTAGGTGCCTACTTTGTAATAGACACTGTTCCAGGTGCTGGGGAAACAGCAGTGGATGAGACAGAAGAAACTCCTGCTCTCGTGGAAGTTTTATTCTAGTGGAGACAACAAGCTGTAAACAAGATTAATTACCAAATCACATGTGTTAACGGAGTGATAAGTGCTTAGGAGAAAAAATAAAAGAGGGAAGGGAATATTGGGCTGGGGTTGGCAGGTCATTCTTTTAGAGAGGGTGGCCAGGAATGGCCTCACTAGGGTGATATTAGAATAAAGACCTGAAAGAGGACAGAGAGCAAGCCATGAGGATCCTGGGGAAGTGTTCCAGGCTGGGCACAGCATGTGCAAAGGCCCTGAGGTGGGGACAGGGTGACAGTGAGGGGGCCAGTGAAGAAGAATGAATGAGAGGGAGTGAAAGAGAGGTGGGGGGGGGCAGATCATGTGGGGTTGCTGGAAGGATTGGCTTTCACCTGGAGTGAAATGGAACTACGGGATAGTTTCAAGCAGAGGAGTTGGGGGTGAGTCTATATCAGAGCGTGGGGCCCGGGTCATGAGACAGTTGGGTCCAAGTCACATAGGAGCAGCCTGTCGAAATGTGGAGGCCTGGTTGTGGCCTGATGAGGTCCCTGTGTGCTGGGGAGGGCCTGTGTCTGGACCCCTAAGGGTGGCTAGATCCAGGGCACTCCCTGGACTGACTCCATAAGGCGTGGCTCCCCCCGGTGGCTGCCTGCACATCCCTCAAGCTGGAAAGGGATCGCCAAGGCCAGCTGTGGGCCCCCCACTCCCTGCCACCCCCAGCCCCCATTCCCTATGGAGAAAGTGGAGTCCAAAGTCATCCCTCCATCCTCCTGCCTCTAGGGGAGCCAAGGATCACGCTCCTCCGTGAGGCCCTCGGCAGGTTGAGCCTGGGTGGGAAGGGTTCACAGTCCCCCCTCCCCATTTCCCAGAGCCTGGGGGCCCAGCCAGGGCCCCGGTCCCGCCCTCGGTGACTGTTCGAGAAGGCTACCTGCTCAAGCGCAAGGAAGAGCCCGCCGGCCTGGCCACACGCTTTGCGTTCAAGAAGTTCTACTTCCGGCTCAGCGGGGAGATGCTCTCCTGCTCCAGGAGTCCTGAGCGTCAGGTGGGGCTCCAGCCCGCTGTGGAGGGTTTTCCAGGGGTGGCCTCACTCACAGAGCTGCCTCTTTGTACCCAGGGAGATACTGAGGTCCAGGAGGGGACAAGGACTGCCCACGGCCCCGTGGCAGCTTAGCAAGTCCAAACTCTGAGGCCAGGCTCTGCTCATATCTTTGGGTCAGTGTGGGCACAGGACACGGACAGGCAAATGCCTACGCACAGCATCAGACATTCTTCAGAACATGCACCTATGGTGGCTGGGACGTATCCTCCCAGATGTGGACATGCACAGGGCATGGACACTGCTTAACCCCACTCAGGTCACTCCTGTGACCACCCAGGTCTCTGCCCACATACCATAGAGACTCACAGAAAATTGGATCTGTTCACCCAGAGGTACATGCCCGGCTGGACAGGCACTCCCATCCAGGCATTTGTTCACTCATTCATTCATCCATCAAGCATTTATTCGAGCACCTACTATGTACCTTGCAGTGTTCTAGTCACTGGAGATACCACAGTAAACAAGACATAAACTCCCTGCTCTCATGGGGCTGCCATTCAAGTCTAGCACAAACTGAGACACACACTGGATCTACCCGTTTCTGTGTCTGCACATCTACAGATCATAATAGCTAACACTGGAGAGGGCGCCCACAACTTATTCTTTCTACTTTATCAGCAGAGTGTAGATTCTAGAGTTCAACTCTCTGGGTTTCAATTCTGGCTCCACCAGCTGAGTGACCGCAGGATGGTCCTTTAATCCTCTTGTGCCTCAGTTTCCTCATCTATAAATTAGGAGGAATAATAGACCCAGCCTCAGAAATCTGTTGTAATGATGAAATAAGTTGAGAAATGTATCGTGCTTAAACTGCATCTCAAGTGCTGTGTCAGGGGTTGCGATGAGGAAGATGAGGATGGTGGAAACTGATGTCCAGAGACGTCGTCACTTAGGAGAGTGATGGGCCAGGACTGCAGGACTCACGGAACTGCCAAGTGGACACGCACATAGCAGAGATGCGCGGGGTGAATGTCCCCACGCCAGGGCACACACCCACAGGAAAGCTGTCCCTGGGCACAGCCACGCCAGCCCCAGCCCCCGGCCCGCCCGGCAGCGACAGTCCTCTCTCACAGACGCGATCCTCCATGCCGGTGTCGCACATCCGCGCCGTGGAGCGCGTGGACGAGGGCGCCTTCCAGCTGCCGCACGTGATGCAGGTGGTGACGCAGGACGGCGCGGGAGCGCTGCACACCACCTACCTCCAGTGCAAGGTGAGGCGCCGCGAATATGAGGGAGGAGCGGAGGGAGCCCCTTGGGTCCCACCCCACCTCTGACCACCCCCCACCAACTCCCTGAAGAACGTGAACGAGCTCAACCAGTGGCTATCGGCCCTGCGCAAGGCCAGCGCCCCCAATCCGGACAAGCTGGCCGCCTGGCACCCCGGTGCGTTCCGCAGCGCGCACTGGACCTGCTGCCTCCAGGCCGAGCGCTCAGGTGAGGGGGCGGGGCGGGGCGGACTCAGGCCCCGCCCTCCACACTTGTCAATCAGAGAGTGTCCCACCTCATCCTGGGTTGGCGCTGCAACTTTGGGCAAGTTCCTTAACCTCTCTCTTGCCTTGAAGTCTCCCCAACTGTGAAATGGGGTTGATAATAGTGTCCACCTTGTAGGGTTGCTGTGAGGAGTAAATAAGTTGACATATGCAAAGCCATTAGAACACTGCCTGGCACACAGATATCTTTTAAGCACCCACTAAACGCCAGGCATCTAGTGGTACACAGACATCAGGCTTGCTCTCAAGGAAAACAAGTGAATAACCAGACCATTGTAATACAGTGTTACAAGTGCCAAGGTGTGGCTTTTGAGACTCCAGAGAACACCTCTGACCCAGCCCCAGGGTAGGACAGCAAGGAGGGCTTCCTGGAGTAGGTGCCACTTAAATGTGACCTGAGAAGGATAAGAGTTAAGTAGTGAAGTTGGAGGAAGGAAGAGTGTTTCAGGCAGAGCAAACGTGGGCTGAAGGACTGAAAAAGTCTGTGGCTGGAGCCTAGAATGCGGGAGGGGGATGGAGAGAAGTGAGACTATGGCTCTTCTGGGCGAAGGTTGAGGCGGCGGGGCTGAGGGAAGTAGGAGGTTTGAAGGGTGATTTTAGAGGCAGAAGGGGCAGGGCTTGGCCATGGGGCTTCTGGAAGGGGAATGGGAAGTTAATGATGCCGTGTTCCCCTCAGCTGCCGGTTGCAGCCGCACACACTCAGCCGTCACCCTGGGGGACTGGAGTGACCCTCTGGATCCCGATGCTGAGACCCAAATGGTGTATCGGCAGTTGCTTCTAGGGCGGGACCGGCTCAGGTGGGTCCTCCCCACCACCCAACCCACTTCACTATGAGCTGCTGGGGCAGCTACCCACTGTGCGCTCCCCACGTCCACATGTTCTTTCTTTCCATGTGCATCTGATGAGCTTCCGGGGGCGCAGGCTCCAGGGAAGGACGGGGAAGCATCCTCAGGTGGACCCTGATGTGGAACTGGATCTTGGGATCTTTTTTAATTTTTACTTTTTGGTCATGCTACGCAGTATGTGGGGTCTTAGTTCCCTGACCAGGGATCGAACCCGCACCCACTGCATTGGAAGCACAGAATCTTAACCACTGGACCGCCAGGGAAGTCCCATGGATCTTGGGATCTTTTGATACCCAGGACTCCAGAGACAGAGGGCACAGAGCTTGGATGTGTCCCTCCACCTTGCTGGCTGGCCTCAGGATCACTGTCATTCAGTGACGGAGATTTGTTCCAACTCATAGTGTGGGTTCTGAAGCTGGCCTGCCTGGGTTCAAATCCTGGACTGGCTACTCACTGGCTGTGTGATCTCAGGCGAGTTGCTTACCTTCTCTACCTCAGTTTCCTCATCTGGAAAATAAGGGTACCAGTTGTACATACCTCATGGGGTTGTCCTAAGGAACAAATGAGCTAATACAGGTAAAGCACTTTGTAGGTGCCTGGCCACATAATTAGCTTTCAATAAAGGGTAACAATTATTATTATGCTGTGTGACCTTAGGTAAGTTACATTACTTCTCTGTGTCTCAGTGATCATCTGTCTAACGGAGCTAACAGTAAGTACCTACATGTGTTTTGTGCTAATTAAATGAGTTTATACATGTAAAGGGCTTAGAATAGGATCTGACATGCTATAAATGTTTGCTGTGATGATGATGATGGTTTAGTGGGAACCTGTAATGTCTCCTTCAACCAGCAGAATCTCTGGGTTCGAGAGCAGCATTGGGACTCAGGAACCAGCTTGGTTTTCTCCCTCTTAACTTTCAGGATGAAATTCCTGGAGGGTTCCACCCTGGATACGACTCCCGAGGCAGACACAGAGAAGGGCTCCAGTGCCACAGAAGGTAAGGGGATAAGGAGGTCCCTTTTCTTTGCCCTCTCTGATACCTCCCACAACTTGCTCAGCACCCCGCCCTGTCCTCCCCTCCCATTCTCCTCTTTCCAGTCCACCAGCAGGCCAGAGGGCTGTGTGTATGCGGCCCTGGCACATTTTAGGGTCTCAGGGCATCAGGCACGTATGGAGCCTGAGGAAGCCACTGGATCTGAATTACAGCAGCCTGTCCTGGCCTCGCTGAGCCCCTGTGGCCTCCATTTCTTTCTCCCAGGGGCCTGTGCTGATGCCCTGGCTCACCAGAGAGAGGCAGCTGCCCGTCTGCTGGAGGTGCTTGCAGACCTGGATCAAGCCCACGAGGAGTTCCAGTCTCAGGAGCAGCGGAAGGTGGCCCCAGGCCCCCTGAGGCCCTGAGGACATGCCAGAGCCAGCCTGAAAGGAGGCGAAAAGAGCCGGCGGGCCCTTCTCAGCGTCCCCTGCCCCAGGAGTCTCCTCGTGGCTGTCTGGTACCTCGTGGATGCTGTGGCTTGCAGGCTCCTGGAGATATCCTAATCCCATGTGTCCTAAGCTGAGAACCCAGGCATGGAAACCCTTTGGCAGGGGACCATCCTTGCACTGAATGAGTCTTACCCTCTGGGTTGAGGCACTCTGGAGTGGATGGAATAAGGAACCTGACCCACTTGTCTCAGCCTGAGGTTTCTGCTTCACAGGACTGGCCTCTACCCACACTGACATGGCCAGCCTGGCCCTGAGCTGGTGGATACAGCTGTACCTGAATCCCTGATGCCCATGTGGGCTTGTTGCCCCAGATAGGCACTAAACAGGCTCAGCCCTTCCTGTTTTCATGTCTGCCAATCCCTGTAGCCACATTGAGCCTCCTGAACCCTGTCCTTGACCGAGAATCCTAACCACAAGCCTCCAGAATCAGGTGCCCTCAGGAATAACTGAGGCTGAGAGCCCAGCGTGCGTGACTCAGACCCTTGGGAGACTTCGGACCAGGCTCTTTCCC